TATATATGTAATTTGAAAATGTGTCAGACTTTTCTGTCACAAGCAAAATACCCTCTATTTTCAAGCAAGAGTCAATCTGTAAGGCATGCTTTGTTTTTGATGTCACTGTTCTAGCCTAGCTATACCTTAAATAGTTAATCCCAGATGTACAGACACATGCAAAATTATTAAAAATGAACAGTGGAGCTTCTCCTTCCCAGTACATACTTTAACTGTCAGTAACTACACTCTGAACTGGTTAACTGTGATATTTAATCTTGTCACTTACAAACTTAACAATGTAAGATGGAAAAACTGTGTTTGCGGCACTGTGCATTCTATCAGTGGGTGCCATGTGCACATGTCAGAACATTCAATTGTGTTAGTTGTGAAATTCTCACCACCACATCTTTATTTTTTCTGGCTCAGCACTGCATATTTCTATGGATTACTTTACTCTTTCTCTCCATTTTTATTTTGTCTTATGGGGATATTTTTGTCTTTGTTCTGCTTTGGGAGAGACAAGTCTTTTATTACTGCCCAGGCCAGCTTCCAACTTGCCATCCTCCTGCCTGGGCCTCTCAAGGGCTGGGGTTACAAGTTCATACCCACAGATGCCATCCCGCTTGGATACTGTGTGAGTTTATTAAAGCTAAAGATTCTTTTGACTGCCATTCCCACCGTGTTAACCCGGGAAAAGATTCTAACGAGGCTAGTGGGAGACGGGGTGACAAATGGACAGGAAGTGAGAGAGATTAACTGGGTCAAACTAGTAGAAGTCACTCTACTAGAGCATAGGTTCTGTCCTTGTCCATCTGGAAACAACTCACTCTTGCAAGTAAGGTCATATCCTGGCTGATCAATGCTTTATATCAGAACACATCTCTTGAGGGCATGGAGAGATGGCCCAACAGTTAGGAGCAATTACTCTGAAACTTAGTTTGCTTCCCATTACGGTGATAAACACCATGTTCACAAGCACCCTGCAGAGGAAATGGTTTATTTTACATAACACTTCCATATCACATTCTACCATTGAGGGAAGCTGAGGCAGGAACCTGGAGTCAGGAACTAAAGCAGAGACCGTGGAGCAATGTTGTTAACTGGCTTGCTCTCTGTGGCTTGCTCAACCTGCTTCTTCTACAATCCAGGACCATATTCCCAGGAGTGGTACCACCCACAGTAGACTGAGCCCTCCCATATCAAACAACAATCAAGAAGATGCTCTCAATTGAGGTTTCCTCTTCCCATGTGACTCTAAGCATGTACCAAGTTGACATTAAAGCCAACTATCACATTGCAAAATTGTGAGGAGTGAAGTTCAGATCCCAGCACCCATGCAGCAATCTCAGCATCAAGAACATGTCTATCACCCAGGCTCTGAAGAAGTATGGAGATACGAGTATTGCTGTGACCTTCTGACTTCCAGCCTGGCCCAAAACATGAAAGACTCAGATTCAGGGAAAGACTCTGCCTCAGTGACATAGGACACCTAATGCCTCTGCACATGTGCACAGACAAGAACACCTGCATACACACATATGTATAAGCTCATACATAGACACAGTCAGACACTTTAAAAAAATAGCCAGCTTTGCTTACATTCTGGTTGTTGGCCACCTTCAGACCATCCCATAAGCTATGGCAAAGCTGCAAGGCTGCAGAGCTCTGTGTGAGCATCTCCTGACTTGGGCATGATGATGACGGTAAGCTTCTAGACAGCCTTTCCCCCTGTTTTTTCCTTCAGGTTGCTGCAATCCCCATCTGTAACCAAAACCACTTCTAGAAAGTGATTCTACAGATCTTCATAAGCTCAGGTAGACCTGGGAAGAATGACTGGCACAGCATGAGCCTTCCCTGCACCCACTTCAGTTTCTCTCTTTACTTGTGATAAAATATCCAAAACGTTAGAGATTCTTCCCTAACATTTTTGAATGGTGTTCATGGGTGTTAAGTACATCCACACAGCCTCTTCACTACCCATCACCAGAACTGTCCTCTTAGAAAACAGAAACTGCCCACTACCTTCTCATCTGCTGTTGCCTCGGCTTCTATAATTGCCATTCCACTTTCTGCCTCTACCACCAAGACCATGTGCCTCATCCAAGTGGAATTTTCTGTCTCCTCCTTTGTTTCCACCTCCCCCCCCACCCCTAGTTAATTTTCACAGACTTCAAACATGAATTCTCCCTTGGAGAGGTCATCCTTTGACTCTCTTCCTTCCCTTGTCTCTCTGGGGAAAAGGTCTTGTGCTTTGTCGTCTCTCCCACTCTGTTCCATTCTTTAAAAGTAACTGGGGAATTTTCCAGTTCTTCTATCTAGGTATGAGCATCGAAATGCTGGCAACCATGACCAAGAACAAGAGCTGCTGTCATGTAAAATCTCAGAACTGGCTGAAAGTACATCCCAAAGTCCAGTAAGACTTAACTCTTCATTCATCTTTAGTGAAAATAATTTCTTCTTGACAGGAAATGCCATTGAACCCACTTCTGATGTTTCCCACCCAACACCCTGCTGGACCAACTTTCAGCATCCTGAGTTAGAGTGTGTAGTTTTCTGTTGTGTAAAGATTGAAGGGATTCTGAGAACTAAAATCTAGGAACCAAACTATACTTAGTGATCCTTCTCTGAGAGAGTGTCCAAAGGTTCAGATAGCTCCTGAGAAATGAACTTAGAGAACACAATCTGTTTGAAATCTGGAAACTGAATATGTGGAATGCATTCTTTACCGGTTTCTTCTGTTTTCTTTAGGCAGGGTCTTGTATGGAGCTGAGGCTGGTCTCAAACTAAATATCTTTGTGCCTCAGCCTTTTAAGTGCATATCCCTTGATCTTTATGATCAGTCTTTCATTAGCCATTTAAACTTGAAAGCTACTGACCAACTTCATGCCACAGAGCACATACTGAACAATAAAAGAAGTGGCCAACTGAAGGAGAGCACTCAGACACCTCCTCCAGATTCACTGAATCACTGGTGGTGCCAAACCTTCTACCCAAGATGAGGAGCCTGCAGATTCTGACAATACCTTGTGCTTATGAAGTTCTGTGTGTTTGTGTTTTCTTCTTTAAATATTACTTTTTTTTTTTTAGTTAAGAGTTAAAGTCAACTTTTATAAATATTACTTTTTAAACAAAACTAAATATAATTTTTGAGTCAGGGTCTCACAATGTAGCCATAACTGGCCTGGAACTCTCTTTGTAGACCACACTAGCCTTACTTTGGAAATTTAAATCAACGAAAAATGCATGCATTTGCTGTTGTACAATATAATGTTTTACTTTCACAGGCCTATGGGACAGTTTGCATTCCTGCCATACTTGGGACCCTAGATATTCTGGAAGAAGAAAGAAAGTAGCTTGTATTGACTTTTCTTTTATTTCAGGCCGAGTCATCTGTCTGACAAAACTCCACCTTTTGAGCACTTAGAGTCTTTTACAGTCCTTATATAATACTCACCACTATTGCATATTAGTCTTTAACTATTTCATGCATACAAATCTTGCCTCCTTGTAAATACACAGCAAGCAAGCTGACTGACAGCACTTTGGGGGGATCTTCTATAACACCTTCAGTCTACAGGGTGCACGGTGTGTGGTAAGGTTGGGATGGTGAATTCACGTGAGGTCCTTCGGTGCAGTCAAAAGCATTGAAACCAGGCCAATTCCACATGCTAATCTTGGCTTAATGTCTTGGGAAGAGCACCATGGAAAATGTTGACTTGCTAGTGTCTGGGGGCACATCAGAGCTGAGAAACCTTCGATCCTATGCTGGTAGTGGTGGGGATTCCTTACTGTGTAGACAGACAGTGTATGTTCCACGAGGGTGGAGATATATCACTAGCACCAACTTTCTCAATAGTACTGTTTCAAATTCCTATTACCACATAGTGTGTGTTTCCTTCTATTCCTCATTTGAAGTCAATCCTCACAAGTTAAGGTAATAGCAGAAAACCATCCAACATAGCACTCAGTATGGTATACCAGGAGGAAGTGCTATGAGGGCTGCCAAGGGTAAACGTGAGGGTAGAACATGGCAGGCTGAAGATCAAGGAGCAACGTTACTAGCCGGCAGCTTGCCCTGGTCTGAGGGCCCATGGTAGAGGGGCAATGCCACTCTCTGACAGAGCAGCCGGATGTCAGATGGAGCTCTTGGGCAGCCCCCAGGCAGTGGAACACAACCTTGCATGGTCCCTGTCTGGCTGGGAGCTTCCTGCCAGGGAAGGCTGCCAAGCAGTTTGTGACAGCTGTGTAGTGAGCAAGTCTCTGAGGTTCTCTAGCACACTGCCATTTCTGACCTGCCTGCCTGTGTATCTCATGAAGTCACAGGAAGTTTGGATGCTCAGGACTCTGTTTCCCATTGTCTCCCATTTCTCTGAGCTACCCCTGCCTTTCTGGGCCTTTACAATGGGCACTTTGAAGAATGGTTCTTTTCTTGTCAGCAGAAAACTATTGGTTCTCTATGTGAAGAATATCTAGGTTTTATTCTGCTCCCAACCTACCTACTTGCTAGCATCTTGTCAGACTAATTGACATCTCTCATGGATTATTGTGAGGAGAAATTACCGTGTGTGTGTGTGTGTGTGTGTGTGTGTGTGTGTGTGTGTTTACATTTTAAAGACCAATGAGATGGCCCATTTGGAAAGGTGCTTGCTATGAAGCCTGAAGACCTGAGTCCAATCACTGGAACCCATATGATGGAAGGATAGAACAAAGATCTTACAGGTTGTTCTCTGACCTCCAGACATGCAGCTGTAACACTCATGCACTCACTCATCCTCACATGCAAAATAAAAATAAAATACAAAAAATAAATCAAAGGTAGAATTTTAGCCATCTAGTATTTTTGAAAAAATGAACTTTAAAATATTAATACTTATTTGTTTAAGTCTTAGGGGATTTAACTTTTCTGTTTACTTAAAATAGCTACATTTGCTTCATCTTCTTAGAGGTTATGACAATTTTCCATTAAATTCTGAGCCTATTCTCTAAAAGCAAATATGAAAAATTAAAAATGAAATTACCTTTCAACATTATTCGTCCAGTGGAACCTCCAAAGGAACTGAGAAGGCCGCTTCTTGCTCCTAAAGATGTGGTTGCCTCTAGGAGAGAACCAGTGATGTACTGAGCTATGGACGTCCTTTGGAGGGTGGCACGGTACTCACATTCGATGTCTCGTACACATTGCTTTAAGCAGGGACCCCCTCCAATCCTTCCATGGGCTGCCTCAGAGGTTGGGAGCTGTGTGGAACAGTGGAGAAGAGATCCAACCGTATCTTCTGTTTCTTCCCCTCGTCTCACGGCACTGTAGATCTGTGAATAGCACAAAGCACAGGAAGTATTAATCTAGTTTCTTAGAAAAGCAAATTAACTTGTTGACAAAATGCCAAGATGACTTATTAAGAAAGAAGGCTCAGCCGGTCTAAGCACAAACACCTTTGAGCTCTGCACTCATGCATTAACCTGAACATTCTACAGACACCATTTATTTGGAGAAGCTCTGTGTAGTTATGAAATAGGCCATTCAAACAACTCTGCTATCAAACAGAGCACTTAGAGTTGCACCAACCAAAAATACATTCAGCTCAAATTTCTCCTCCTCCACAGGAGAGAAATGCTCTCCTGTAGAACCACAAGGACAAATCTTTCCCTCATCCTTTTGGGCTCTCTTGCATGACTGACAGAGTCTGCCTATTTCCATCTGTGCCTCAATATGACCTCCATAGGGAATTCTGTTCCATGAACAAAGTAAGGCAAAGATGAAAGAGTCATGGGGAAGGACTCCCTTATGGGTATACTCTTCCTGTCTATCAGGTAGCATTGGAGCCTCTGACGATTTTATTCTCTTCCTCCTCCCTCTTCTCCCACATTTAAAGAGTTAGACTCTGCCCAGTGTTCCTGTTCTGTCATTTTCTTGAGTCTTTCTTCTTTGATCACTTGTATTCACCAAGTATGATCTGATTAGAATAGATTACCAACCATGTCTTCTGCCTATTCTAATGTAGTCGTTCAACATGCATGAACACAGACATGACTCAATGTGATTCACTGTGTCAGAAAATATGGGTAAATGCAAAGGGTACAACATTATGCTTGCACTGCAGTGTTTCCACATTGCTTTGAAGAAGAAACCTGGCTATGATGGAGTTCAACAATATTGCAGGGAGGGTCTTGGTTTGTCTGAGATGTCCTGGAATCTTTTAGAGTTTTTGAGATAGTATGTGAACAACATGGGAAAAAATGTCACACTGAGGGACATCTGTAGCTTTGTAGAGAAGGAAGGAAAGGATGCTACTTGACAGTGAATTCATAGTGATTCCTTGAACAGCTTGCTATGCTTTGCTTTGCTTTGCTCACAGTTACTGTGTCAGATCTGGGGAAATCAAACAGCTTCTCATCTTACAGAGATCACAGGCCTGCAATGCACTTGTGGCAATGGATGTCCCTTCATGGTGTTGTACGCTCTAAATTTTACCTTTAACTGTGGCCCTTAAGAGACCCCTGTATTAGGTCCTTATGAAACCCTGCAATAAAACCAAACACCCACAGCATTCAAACTAGATGAACAGTTTTCTACTTTTATTTCTTATGCATGCTGATACACCCCTGTCACTTGGAGTTAGAATGAGAATTCTTAGATTTACTCTCTGCATTAGAGATCTGAAGACCAGTGTGTCCAAGTGAACTGTGTGTTGGGATTGCATCCAGAGTCTGAGATCATGTATAGGGGATAGATATATGATTCTATTTGACTGGCCAGAGAACTTGTCCTGAACACAACACAAGTAAGCGACTTGAACGTTTTGAGCCAGGATCCTTTTCTGTAAATTGGGGTCGAAATACTCAGTTCTTAGGGACATTGTGGGATTCACTAAGGAAACTCATGTGGCATACCTGACTTTATGTTAAGAAATAGCACCCAATATAGTTGGGTAAGTCTCTAGGAGAGAATGCACTCCTCCTCAAGGAATGATGGGAGGTTGTTAACAGAGAGCAAGTCTGTTATTCAGCATGATTTAGTTACTGCTGTGTTTTATATGTGGCTACACAATGTCATCCTAACTCTATCTGGGGAAATGCAGAGCTCAGGAAATGACTTTCTTCTCAATGTCTGTCTTTTCCTGGACATTGATGTCCTTAAAGAAGGAGGGCAATCTCCATTGTCATGCTGTCCTACATACCAAACCATACAGACAATCCACACCACAGGAAGCCCCCCAGAAGCTCTTCAGGAGTAGATAGTCCAGACGTTCAAGGACAGGAATCCCTTGTGAGAACTAAGAAAGGCTCCATAGGAAAAGCAGGCCTTGCCTGAGCCTCAGAAATCAGCTATGACTTTAATTGCAATGAGTGAGGGAGGTAATGAGAGAGAGGACTCAAGAGATGAGTCTGGAAAATGGAGACTGTCCTGTCAATAGGGAATAAAGCAGGGTGTGCAGAGCAGAGGTGGGGGGGAGTTAACTGTGCAATGAGGAAGGCCAGACAGCCTGATAACAGAGACCCTTAACTGTTATACCAAAGAGTTCCTTCCAACCAGTTAGAGGTTGCAACACTTGACACTTGGTATTTGTTTGTTCTCAAAAGAGGAATGAGGCTAAAACAGTTTTGTTTAAAAAGATGAACAGACAGTTCCCAGTTACGAATAGGTTGCCTACTTCCTTTTCATGCCAAGCTGCCCCACAGGCTTACTGTGCCCACAATCATTGCTTTATGAACTATATCTATTATAATACTTTCATAAATACCCACTCATATAATAGGCCACTAATAGCCCACTCATTTAGTCCTTTCTTCAGCTTTTCCTGTAGAGGTGATATTTAGAAAATGATGCTCGGTCCGGCTTGTTCCCAAGCAGCCGCCATGTTCCTGCTGCTCTTCGGCTCTGACCAGGGCTCCAGCTAGTTAGATGTGCAGGCCCTGGCACCCACGAGATACCAGTGTCGCTCTGCCAATCCACCAGGCTGCATCCACAAAGCTCGGCTGAATCCCAGACATATCTGCCATCCTCACAGTACTCCATAGAAATGAGACTCTTAAAGCTTAATAATTATCTAAAGGATTTATATATTTAGAAATGCTCAGTTAACAAGATGCTCACACAATTAGAGTTGTTATCCAATATCTAACCTTTTGATAGAAGTTGCTACCCAGGACAGCTTTCAACCCATCGGTGGTTCTCCATGGCTGCTCCCTCCCCCCCTCCTCTTTTTCTCCCCTCCCCTTCCCCTCTTTCTCCCAGCTCCACCTCCTCTTCTACTACCTGATCACCAAGCTCCACCGCGAATATAATGTAGCAGCATAAACATCCTGCTACATTTTCCAATGTGCTTTTCTCAAACCCTTAGAATACTGAGAGAATGACATGACATATGAACTTCTTGTTCACAAAAACGTGAACATAGTAAATAGACCCACTTCTGGAGATTTAATCTGCCCAACAGAATATTAACGACAACCACAGATGTTGTAAAGACATTTGTTTTGTTTTTATTAACTGCATGTTTGAGTGTTTCTCATGTTATTTGACCAATAATTATTTTCTAAAGAACACTTAGTCTACAGGTGAAGCTTGGAACAATACAGTTTGTTCAAATCTAATAGACTTTTCCTGTTTCCAGTTCCTCAATCCTGGTGGAATCTCTGGCATACTCTCCCCACTCCCACAACTCCTTTTCTCATTATCCCACACTTCTGTCTCCACCTGCTCTGGCTTTCTTTTACCATGCCTTCAGGAAAGTCACAATGCAATAAGAAAGTACCAATAAGTAGCTAATATAGGAAAGTCACAAAGTGACAGCCTCGAGCTATATTCAGATTGGCTTCATCAAACAGTATCTCAATATCAGTGAAGTGTATATGTACACAAGAAGCTGCAGGAGCCCCTCAAACCTGGATAGACTCACAGCACATAGATTCGTAGCACATAGACTCACAGCACTAAGACTCATAGCACATAGACTTATAGCACATAGACTCACAGCACTAAGACTCATAGCACATAGACTCATAGCACATAGACTCACAGCACTAAGAATCCCACAAATCATCTCATGACAGGACTCTCTACTGTCATACGGAGCAAAATGTTTTACTGGTCAGCACCAATCTACCACTCTTTAGTTACCAAATTTTTCCAATATCTGGTTATTGATCATATATATGTAGTGGCCCCTTCCCTCAGTGATTTATAGAGAGGGTGTAGATTTATATAATAAGTATGCATGGAGCCTCTCTGGGGTGTCTAATCTGTGTTCTTCCTGTGTTAATTGCTGACTGTATATGGAGAAAGCCAGTTCATACTCCCAAAAGGTTTCACCCCGTGCTATGCAAGCTGCCAAGGTAGAGAAGCAACCAATAGTCTTATTTTGCTGTTGGTGTCCATGAACTAACAATGACCAGCATGGCAAAGTATCCCTAAGAGTACTGTAATGGCACTTATATCTTAGCAGTAATTGGCAGCTATTTAATTAGACTTCAGGCTTACTCAACAGAAGGAAAATCACACCTGGTATTAGAAACCTAGCCAACCACATGGGGCTAGAGAGGTCATGGATCTAAGAGGAGAACCTATTCTTCGCACTCTACTAAACCAACACATCCTAAATGTATCCGAAATACTTATCACCTGACCCACAGGTAAGTGTACCTCTCATCCCTCATCAAAAACACTTCTCTTTGCAACAGACAGAGAACATTATTGAAAAACACAACTGGTCAAAAGATAGACAACAACTGATCATAGGTTGCTTAGCCTAAATGGATACATCTATAACACAAGTCCTACACCAAAGGCTGAGGGTACATTTTAGAAAAGAGAATGAAAAGACTAAAAAAAAAAAAAAAAAAAAAAAACCAAAAAGCTGGAGAACCAGGAATTTGTGGTTCTGTGAGATTGTGTTTCCTAGAAATCACAAGGAAGCTTCACTCATGATATCTCAATAATATGTCTACATTAAAAAAAGATCTAAACAAGGGCGGGTGATAGCAATAAACATGTGTACAAGTGGAAAATCTTACAGAGTACCAAGCCAAAGAAATCACAGGCATCAAGGAATGCTAGGAGCAGGAGAATCAGTCTTCCTCAGGGCTGAAACCCTTAACTGGTTATCCAGTACTAAGTAGTCACTCCTCCGATCAAATACACGCAAATGACCCAAAGTGAACTCAGCAGGTTGTGGTTATATATTTATGTTTGTGGACACACTCTCTCTCACTCTTTTTCTTACACACACACACACACACACACCACAAACACAAAGAATAAGAAGCCATAAATTTGAGAGGGAGCAAGGCGGTACATGGAAGAGATTGGA